CAAAAAAGAGCCCATCTATTTTTAAAAAGAAATCTACCAAAAGGAGTCACTATTAAAAGTACATATGGGAATTTGGATTCTTTGAGGCCAAGCCCTTAATCGTCAATCAGGAACCCGTAGTTCTGCTCACTTACTATACAAGTGGGTAAAAGTGAATTCTATTCCTTTCTAGCCCTCCCGACTGTAACGTTATTGGAGGCACACTGCCTGGGAAATAACCGTTTCTCCATTTTATATGGTGACGGGGTGCCACCACCTTCCTCTTCTCTGGGCAGGCTGCAGCCCCGGGACCCGGCGGTGAGACCCCACCTCAGCCAGGGTCAACATGAACGCAAACATCGCTCACTGAACACAGCTCTCAGAACCACCCTTCCCGCCTCTGCGTTCCGTTCTCCTCTCTTCTCGCTACGACCCAGTGGCTCTCTCCTTCATCCGGACTCCCGCTGCCTCCTCCATGTCCCTCCTCACCTGCGGCCAACCTCCCCCTGCCCCCCGGGTCAGTGCATGGCCTCACCGCCCATCCAGGGCAGCGGCTGGATAGACGGGAGCTGTCAGTTTGTCAAGTGGCTAGAAGGACCTCATCCACCCTGCTGGAGGGCACCTGGGAGATGTCTGGGGTCACACCTGTCACGTTTTCTCTATTTCCATGCGTCCTTTGTCTAGATCAGTGGTTCTCAACCTTCCTAATGCCACGACCCTTTAACACAGTTCCTCATGTTGTGGTGACCCCCAATTTCATTGTTACAAATTGAACATAATTAAAGCATAGTGATGAATCACAAAAACAATATGTAATTATATATGTGTTTTCCGAGGGTCTTAGGCGACCCCTGTGAAAGGGTCGTTCCACCCCCCAAAGGGGTCACAAACCACAGGTTGAGAACCGCTGATCTAGATCCTTTAGCATTCGAAAGATGGGAGTCTAATCTTACTTCTTTTGTCTGTTAAACTAGGTGCCTCTGGCAGGACTGAATTAATCTCTATGGTGACTGTCTTCCCAACGTGGACGTGCTTTATTGGTTCAGAACAGCAATTTCCAACCTCTCTATCTCCTGGCACACAAACCAACGACTAAAATGCTGGCCAAAAAAGGTATAATTTTGATTGATTTACAAAAAAATAAAAATAATAGTAATTACCTATCCTTTTTGCTCCGAAGTGACTTTTTAAAAAATCAGATGCCTATACTTGTATATAAGGATCTCTGGTACCAATAATTAACCAACCAGATGCAACCTTATGATGCAACGTGACGGATAAAATGTAACTCTGTTATATGACCTGTATGTTATGGTTCGAGGCAGGGCATTCACGCCGGACAGCTCTTGTGCTGGTGGTGTCATTTTTTTTATTTCACAATCTAAGGGGAAAGAGGTCAGTGCCCCTGACTAAATAGTCAGGTATGGCGAGTTTTAAAAAATCCTCGCGGCACACGGGTTGAAAATGGCTGGTTTCGATTGTTACCATGGAAACGGAGGATGCAGGGTCGGAGCTGCCTCCCTCTCTCTAGCCAGTGACAACAATGCTTGCTCAGCTCATGCCAGC